ATGCATGTGTATGTATGTGTGCGTGCATAAAAGAAGTTCAGAATGATAAGAATATCAGCTTGGAGGGTTCAGGGTATCTCCTAGTCGAGCAGTCTCGACTAGAGTCTTCTTACTTGTTTTATGTAGGGTATGTAGGGTATGCTGAATTTCGATAGATGCGAAATTGAAATGTCTGAAGCCTTTGGCTCACCTTGGCGATAAATCAAAAGCGCGCATCTGCATAGGCGAAAATATGCAGAAGTATATAGAAATACATATATGAATTATTATTGGTGGCGCTTTGTCATGGTCTAACTGGAGCTATGCGACGGCGGTAGCTAGATTGTTTCAGCGCGTTTATTTATCACCGATGTTGGTCAGCTGTTTTGGCGGCTCTATTAACTTCCGTCAGCCGGTAACGCGTCAAGACCTAGACCTAGACATTGAAAATACGCAGAAAAAAGAAAAAACAAAGCAAAGCAAAGCAAAAACTTAACAACAACAAAGCCGGTTACAGATCCGGCTCATGCCAAAAAAATGAAAGAAAGAGAGAGAAGATGAGTCTAAAGCCTTAGACTAAATCGTGCTCATTATGAAAACCGTTAGCAACAGCGACCAGTGCAATGCCATCCTGCTGCCATTGAGTCACAGACGCGGCGACGCGTCGCTGGCCAACATGGCCAAAATAATCAAGTGGCAAAGGTCAAGCGCACTTTAAAGAACAATTTCGGTCGTGTTAATTTGTCGCATTTTGATTCTTTGTAATTGTGTTTAGCTCCGCTCTCCACTTGTTAGCCAGTCGTCAATTGTTGTTGCACGCGCACACCTCAATGGCACAATTAAGATTCATTTTCATTTTCATTTTCATTATTGTCCATTTACATTGAGACATGCACATAAATAAATATAACACACATGTGACAAACCCGATCTCGACCTCGTCAATTTTAATGCTGCACGTCCGCCCTGGGCAAAGCCACGGCACGGCTACAACACTGTATACCTATGTGAAGGGTTTTGCGTTCTTGTAAACACGTAGCCTTTTGGCCGAGACTCAGCTATCTTGATCTGAAACCTTTACAGCTCGTCACACGCTTAGAGATCAATAGTAATTTGCGGCGGAATGTCACACACACACACACACTCACTCACACACGCGTGCGTCAGAAATATATAAAACTGGCTTGAAAAGATCGAAATATCGAAAATCTAGAAGATATGAATGGACAGACGAAATTTATAATTAGACTTGATCTAACAAAAGCGACAGCTGGGGAATGGCTTATATTATGCGAATTTCTTGTTTTCAGTTCGCTCTCTTCTTCTTCTTCTTCTTCTTCTTCTTCGTCGTCTTCTTCTATCGTCTCATACAGTTTTGCTTTCAGGTTTTTTTAGTGTGTATATAACTTAGTAAACACAATCAGCTGTAATTTTGGGAAATCAACTGAGTCCATTTCATTTGCAATCTCTGAGCCTCTTTCAGGAATGTCGCATGACACAGCAAATTTCGTTAGTTCCTTAGTAATTCATTGGTGTTTACATGATCTGAGCCAGTTTTCACTAGGACTTAAAATCTTTAAACATTATAACTTGAAGCTGCAAATGAGTGAAGTTTAAGTATAAAACCTCAACTAATTTATATTCTAAATACAATCTTGGTGTAATCATATAAGCAACACTGGCCAATAAATTTGATGGGTTTTTTCTGTAATCAATAGTCAGATAATTTAATTTCCAAAGGTAGGTCATTGACATGCTAAGTCTGAAAAGGAATTTACTAGCCTTCCAGCATTACTTTTCTCTAGCATGGACTCCTCTCTTAGCAACAGTTTAGCTTAGTTGATACATCGATGATGATTCAAGAGTTTTGCATAATATAATGAAGAGTTTGAAATTTGAAGGAGAAACGTTTTACTGCCAGCTACCGCAGATGGATAGATAGATCAGATGTCAAACTGATCTTATAGGATCTCTTATGTAGGTTGAAATATCCTTTTTGGCTGTATTTATGTATACGACTGGAAGACGGCAAACTGTGCAAAGGCTTTTATTTTTCTTTTTCTTGATTATTCAATTCTGGTTATCTGTGTTAGCAACTAGTTTAGTTGGTCTATCATTAGAGACAGTTATTAATAGGACCACCTATAAATGAAACCAACTACGCAACTATTAGAGGTATATATACATATACATATATATACATATAATGATGCATATACATATATAGTATTATATATACACTTATGTCACGCAGATCGTATATATATAAATCGCCAAATATAGAATGGCATAGTTATAAATATGCATTTAACCTGTTTCTGAATGTCAATAATTAATTAGTATTTAATAATATAGTTAGTGCGAAACTTAACTTAGGCAAAGTAACTAGTTGTACGTGTAGCGCAATTAAATAAAACAAAGTTGACCCAATTTTCAATTTAGACTTAAGAACAATACAATTTGTTTTATTGTTTGAAATGAAATAAATATTAAATAAATATTAAAATGAAATAAGATGTATAAACAATTATTATTTAATTAATAGTCATTATGATTTATTTTAAACAAGTTTTCCATATATTTATTTTGTGACTATTTATTAAATTTTTAATATTTGGCTTTAAATAAAAATAAAATTTATAAAAAAATGATTGTTTTATGAATAATAATTATTATTTATTCTTAAGCAAGTTTTTATTAATTTTTAATATCTGGCTTTAAATAAAAATAAAATATATTTAAAAAAATTATTATTTATTCTTAAGCAAGTTTTAAATATATTAATTTATAAATTGTGACTATTTTTTAAATTTTTAATTTTTGGCTTTAAATAAAAATAAAATATATAAAAAATTATTATTAAAAAAATAATTTATTTTTAAACAATTTTTATATATGTTTATTTATATTTTTTGACATTTTTTTTTTTTTTTTTGATTTTATTTGACTACACCTGAACAACAATTAAAATTTTAAACGAATATATGCACAAACTTAAACTCCTAAAATTATAGTTTTACTTTCAATGTAAGCCAACCGAAGAAAATTGAAAATGTAGTACACAAAAAAATTATTGCTTTAATTATAATTTAAGCTAAACATAAAAATGTTGAATATGGGGAAAAAAAGAAACAACTTTCAAAGTTATTAATAAAATGCATAAATTTGTTAACAAAATTTTATAATGTTTCATTATTATCGTATGTCTCATATTATGTTAAACAAAATTCTTTTTTATTGCTCGCTAATGCGAAAAATATACAAATTTGATTTGAAGAAGTTTAGGTTTTTATTATTTTGTTGTATTATTATCTATTTTGTATTGAAGTGAAGGTCGCAGACTTTGTACCTTTCAGCGAAACTAGTTTATGAAGACCCACCCCTTGTCGCACAGTGCATTGACCCATAAAAAAAAACTGCAATCCGGACTGGGCTAGTGATATAAGCCAAGCTTGTAATTTGAGAACAGCAACAACAACAACAACAACAAGTGCAAAGCTGAATGCTTTTCGGAACTTGCTAAATCAGCTCACACCAAAGCGTGCGCTCAGTGGGCCAATCGAAGTCGCACACAGACACACAAACACACACACATACGTAATAAGAAGCGCGCTTGGAGGCAAGCAGAAACACTTACACACACACACACACACATAAACACAGCTACATACACACATACACACAGTTGGCAAATTCAACGAAACTTCCGCCGTTCTGTGCGGCTGTTGAAAACGTTCGTTAAGTTTTTTTAAGCTTAGGCCAAGCCAAGCCAGCCAATCTAAGTGTGCTCGTGAGTGTCTGCCTATGTGTGTGTGTGTGTGTGTGTGTGCTTGTGTGTAGACTAGGGTACATACCCGTGCTACTTGCACAGCCGCTGCTCGCGTTGGCGTCGCTGCCGACGCTGCTGCTAAAAAAACTTACTTTATCTTGTGATTGCTGAGAAGTTTTAGATTCAGTTGAGCATAAACATTTCTACGGTGCGGTTCAAAATTGGTGGCTAAGAGCATCAAATGCGTTGCAGTGCGTGCTAAAAAGATCAAAACGAGAACTTCAATCAATTATATATAATATATATATATATATCTATATATATATATATATAAAGTGCTGTGCATTTGAGCCCCGTTGGCCAAAAGTTGAACGCAAATCGAGCCAAGTGACAGCATGAGGTTAGCTGCCAACAGCTAACAGTAACTGAGAGGCCTAGCTACATCTATATAGAATAAAGATAACTCTACACATATATAGATATTTCTATATATATATATACATATATAAGTTACACACCTAGTATCACTGATCTTGGCTGATAGTCTACACGGCTCCAAAGATGGCAATGCAATATCACAACTACAACAGCAGCACGCGCTACGAGATGGTCGTCGAGATCGCCAATATAGCACTGGATGAGTTTAAGACCCATCATCTCAGTCGCAACTATACGGGCCTGGTGCAGCGCTACTACCAGCTGGTCGAGGAGGATTACGGCGGTAGGTGTACGAAAGCAAAACGTCAAATGCAATTTGGCCGTTGGCCATATCGAATGTGGGCCAACAACAACAACAACAAACGGGGGGAAAATATGTAAATTCGAGCAGCCCTGCGGCAGCTGATTTAGCTGATGTCATTGTGGTGCGGCTGTCAATCGATCGACAGAGCCTGTCCGGGAAGTTGAAAACTCAAATTCCAAAACCATCTCAAGTGCTGCTGCCAGATTACGCACAAAACTATGAAAAGCATAAAAGCCCAACGATGATTTGCCATTTTTGAGCAACACAAAAAAAAAAATAAAAAAAATTGGCAAAAGCAAAAACAAAAATGCAACAACAACAACAACGTGAAACAAATACAAAAAAAAGCTAAAAATACCAAATTTACTTCTAGGACAATTAAAAGAGGTTTCTTTTGTGTATTTAATGGCGACCTTGGCAATGCCAATTGTTTATGTATATATACATACATATATATGTATATATATCCATCAAATATGTATACGTCAATTTTTTGGTGTTTTTTTGACAATTATTAACGTAATTAAAATGTATTTACATAGTTGATCTTAAACATTTTGTTTTTTACGAGGCGACCGTCGACGTCGACGTCGACGTCGTCGTTGTCTTTGTCGTCGTCTCGTTGTTGCTTGTTGTGTGTGCAGCTGAGCATGGTACAGCACATACAATACGTATACATACGCATCTACAACAACAACAACAATGATAATAACAATAACATTGGCGAAGATGATGCATGTGCCATATGTACTTACAATACGATTTACGTATGTACATATATATGCTCATTTACTTACCTTCCTATACTTCATTTTTGTTTAATGTACGTATATATAGTTTTTTTTTTCTTAGTTTTGTTCGTCTTTCGTTTTCGTTTTCGTTTTCAAAACGTGTTCGCATTTGCCCCGCATATTGACATTCTTGACTGCCGCGAGCGGGTGAAAAGGTCAATGGAAGGTAGCAGCAATTAAAAGCAATGCAAATAGAGTATACAGACGCTAGCTGAGCCATGCGCACATGTATACAAATTATATAATATATATGCATATATATGGAAGCAATGAATGCGAATGCCAAAGATGTGCAAAAAAAAAGAGCAGCGAAATTAATTGAGGAAAACAAAAGACTTAGAACACAAACTTGCTGGGACAATGCAAAACAAAATGTTTGTGAGTTGAGCTAATTAGTGATGGTAAAAATGTGAAATAAACTAAATAGAAGTGAGAAGAGTTAAATAAAGAAGAAGAGCAACAATATATATAATAATAAAATATATAGACATATTTGTAAATGAATAGAGTTACAAATTCAGTTAAAGACAAAGACATTGATATGGGAAAAAATGTAAATTTATCGATATGTGTGAATGCGGATACTTTGAGATAGACAAATATGTAAATGGTGCTATAAAGATGTAGTGATCAATGAATTAAAGATGCGATATAGAGAAATATTTCAAAATAAATATACACCATATAAAGATAACCAATAATGAATATTGATTATCTCTGTTATACATAGTACACATCTAAGTATACTCGATATATATCGAAACAGATAATTTGAAATGTGCAACAAATGTCTTCGAAATTATTCCAATATTATATAATTATTATTATATATTATACAATCTATCTATATACAAACACGTTCGACTCCAACTCGACTGGAAAGCAGAAGTTCAAAAGCCAGCACTAATTTATTTAAAAATCGCCAATAATTTGTATTCAAAATGGACTTTAAAGATCTTTCACAGCAAGCAGATAACAGAGCGCATAACTCTTCGCGCTTTCGAGACTCCAAAGCATATGTAAATGGCAGCTGACAAAGAAATAAATGTTTGATTTAGCTGCCTTTGAACTATACATTTAGTGAGCAAAAAAAAACACTGAGAGAATGTCAATGCAAAAAACTGAAATCGCTTGGAATTTAAGGAATTTAAATCAATTTAATGAATAGGAAAAGTTTTACAATGGAAAATTTGCCGCCAAGTAAAAAAAAAAAAAAAAACAAAAACAAATTCCTGTGCTCCTGCATATGTATATATACATAGTGGAATAATTAACTGTTGTATCAACAACACATTCGTAAATGGGCTTCACTTGCAATGCATTATTAATTAAATGCGTTCTATGACGACATTGTCGGACTCTGTCTGCTGTCTGTAGCTAAATCAGTTAGAGTAAGTCCCGTATAGTTCCATTTGAGTTTGACTAGAAAATCCGGTTTAGATTAATGCGCTTGTTGATATTATTATTGTTGTTGTTGTTGTTGTTGTTGTTGCATTTGTATTATGTCTCAGGCCCTAAGTATACCTATTGAGTAAACAAGATAATTGTCCACTTGAACCGAGCATTACACCTCAATAGAAGCGCACACACACACACACACAACGAGCCGGCAAATTGTGTTTAGGTTTTATTTTAGCTGGCCACGATTTCATTCATTCGTGCAAATTGGCTGCGGGAGCTTCTAAATTGAATTCGTATAACTAATTAAATGCCATTGACTCGACAAAACAATTGGCAATGCATAAGTAAACAAATGAATGGCAATTGAAATTGACAATAAATAATCATACGAATTATAATACATACATATACATATATATTTGTATATCATTGCAATGCATTCTCATCATTTCTTCTCTCTTTCGCGCAGATCCTCGTGCAGAACGCTTCCCGCTCATGGAGCATCCCCTGTTCACATTCGGTCTGGTTGCCATTTATCTGTCCTGGGTGCTGGTGCTGGGGCCGCTGTTCATGCGAGACCGCAAACCCTTCCAGCTGCGCCGCACCCTCGTCGTATACAATGCCTTCCAGGTGCTGCTCAGCGGCTATATGTTCTATGAGGTGAGCTCTCGTCTTTCGGCGCCCACACACGGAAGCAGCGCCAATTCATAAATATTTCATTATCATTATCATTATTAACCTTTTTATTGCTCTTCATTTTGCAGCACCTGATGGCTGGCTGGCTGAACTATTATAATTTAAAGTGCCAACCGGTTGACTATTCAGATGGACCCATGTCCAAGCGGGTAAGCGATACGAGACGACGCTTAATTTGCAAATTTTCGACTCGTTAATAAAAGGAGTTCGTGTTAGCTTTAAAAGATCTTTAAACGAAACTTGTTTTAAATTATCAGATTTAGCGATTTTTTATGGGACTAGTTTCGCGAGACCATACACATACATATGCATAAAATAGATCTAGTTAGAATATAAAAAAAAATATATATATTTTCATATATTATTATATACACGCAAATCTTGTGCTGATCAAAAGCTCTGCATCAAAATTCAATTTCTATCAGGAAGCGGCGATTGGGCGAGTATTGCGCAGTCGCAACAGCTCTCTTAGACTATGAATATGCATATATATGATTTCAATTTCATTTAGCTTCACTTGTTTTGTTGCTGTTGTTGTTGTTGCTGCTGCTGTCTGCGCAACAAGTTCGTTGGCTCTGGATGAGTCACGGCCCCCCTCCCCAGTCGCGTTTCAAGTTCAGACTGGAGACTGTTTTTGACCAGTCATGTGGTTAGGCTTTTGTTATTTCGTTGCTGGCAAGATTAGCGTAATTATGACGTTGCCAAAAGCGTTGCCTCAAGTCCAATTGAATTGAAGGCGTCTCGGTTCTGGACTAATCAACAAATGGACATTTAGTTACGCCTGTCGAAACTCTCAAGCCATTCAAAAGGCATTTAAATAAATAATTAGCTAATAAGCAATTTCAACTTAAATGCATAATTTGCTAACGATTTCTGTAAGCCATAAAACCGAAATAGCCACGTTAAATCTTGCCTAAAAAAGTGCAACAAACCCGAAGCTTAACTAAAACAAACATAAACTGACAAAGCCAAGGCTTTGTTTGTGTTTCTTATGCTTGAGCTGACGAATTAACAACGTTCGTCTAAATAGATAAGCCCACTTTTTGCTTTTGTTCGAGCCGCAAATCAATGCGGCCCATAAAATTTGGACCAAGTCATAAACTCGGCTCAGCCCAAATAGCTAATTCTTCACACGCTGATAGATTTGACATCCGCTTGGAAAGAAACGAGCGAATTGCGATATATTTTACATTTATGTGGCGTTTGGGCTTTGGGCTTGTTTACATTGCGCATACGCCGCGTGAGCCGCACGACAAAATTCTTGACCTGTAAATGGAAGATAAACGAGTCAACATAACCTTGCCATTAGCTACGAATCAACTCACTCACCCTGTTCCCCCCTCTCTCCCTCTCTCTCTCTGTCTTGCTCTCTGCAGATGCTCAATCTGTGCTACATCTACTATCTGTCCAAGCTGACCGAGTTCGCCGACACCGTGTTCTTTGTGCTGCGCAAGAAATCATCGCAAATCACCTGGCTGCACGTCTATCATCATTCGGTCACACCACTGGAGACCTGGGTGCTGGTCAAGTTCCTGGCAGGTGAGTAAAGACCAACACCAAACAGTAGCAACAGCCAAGACTGAATCCATTTACTCCACCACCAACTAAAGGCGGCAATGCGACATTCCCCAATCTGTTGAACAACTTTGTGCATGTGTGCATGTACTTCTACTACATGATGTCCGCCATGGGACCGGAGTACGCCAAATTCCTCTGGTGGAAGAAATATATGACTGAGCTGCAAATCGTAAGTAACGCCGCGTCATTATCAAAGATCTGTTCCAGCACAGTTTCCACACATTTAATATATGGATATATAGATAGTAGTCGTAGAGGTATAGCTAATATATCTGTGTAACTATATAGAAACTTGTTTAGAAGTTTTGTTTTAGCCGCATGGCAAACCTGTTAGACCTGACCGCCAGCAAATGCGATTGCCAAAATATCAAAAGCAACAACAACAAAAAAAACAACAAAAACGGCATTACTTAATGCTTCTAACTGTGTCTTGCAACTGGCCAGGCCAAGTGACACTCAGCTGCAAGTGGAAGTGGTTTGTGCTTAACACAGTCACACACACACACACACAGACATGGTCCAACTGGCTGACAGACATGCAGACTGCCTCAGCCTCTTAGCCATAGCTTGAGTCAAAGGCCAAGTTAGCAGATTTGCTGTATTTGCTGTCTTATGCTCCATGGGCTCTTCAGTTTGTACAGCTGTGCATGCCCTAGGTTGAGAAATATCTAAATATAAATAGCTATACTGCATTACAGCTGTTTGTGATAGGCCAATTGGATTCTTATTGGAGCACAGTTGGGATTAGATGAATTGGAATTGGCCATAAAAATTAATCTCATTATTTTTATAGAAATTTATGGCATATATAGGAGTGATACATCTTTAACAGTTATATGTTTGATTTAAAAAAAAATATATATGTCATATTATTTCTGGTAAATTCAAATGGAAATACATCCACTGAAAGGACCAATAACTATAAGAATCTTATCCAGATTTATGCTCATCTAAAGCAAGACTAAGTATAACACAAAAGTAAGCACATGTCTAGGTGGGCGTGGCCAAGCATAAGATAACTAGGTATATCTAGAACCCATTCAGTTTAACAACGACTCTAATTCTAGCTCAACTCAGCTCCCTTCAGATATTTCCTACTGCTGCTGCCTGAGCGGGTATGCAGCAGTTATTCGCATTGTTTCGATAAGTTCTAATCGTGTTTGGTTTTTGTGTTGTCGTGTGTCTTGCATAAGTCGTGTCCGTTAAGATCAGCGAGTTCAATGCGCCGTTTGTCACTTTCGTTCTACGAACTGCCTAAGAAACAACGAACACAGTTAATATTCAATATATAATAAAAAATTCCTAAATATCAGAGAAGAAAACAAAAAAAAAGCTATGCTGACCAGTTAAGTGGGTTTCATGTTCAATATTTTATTTTGCCGTTGTTGTTGCTGCTGCTGTTGTTGTTGCTCTTGTTGTTGTTAAGTTGAAGCTTGATTTTACTTTCAGCTTTAGTTTTGGATTTCAATTGGCTTTGCGGGTCTTTCCGTTTTCTCAGTGGCGATGGCATTTGCGCCACTCCACTGATTTTCCACAGGCAGTTCTTATATATACATATATATACATATATATATATATATATATACATATATACACACATGTGCATGTAATTGAAAGACCAATAGACACACACACACACACATATGGCATGGCATTCGACTGCAAATACGTTTTCATGGCAGTATTTCAATGTTTCGAAATTCTTGAAACGCATAAAACTTGGCGAGTTTTAGTTAGTTCTGCTTCTGTAGTTAGTCGTTATTGTTGCTGTAGCTGCTTGTTGTCGCTGGCCTGCTTCTAAGTGCTGTGTCGATGTGTGCGTGTGCGTCGCCTTGAGATTCACTGACTCTCCACAGTTGACTTGTCAAACGTTCGTTCGTTCGCTCGTTCGTTCGCTCATTGTAGATGCGCGCGTGTCACGACACGCACACGACATTCATATCACTCAATAGACACAACTATCGCTCCTGGCCAACTGGCCAGCTGGCCAACGAACTGGCCTAACCCAGGAAGTGAACTGCAGCTAATTGGCATGCCGCAGTTAATTGGCCTTACGCATTGGCCCAAACCCCTTGTAGGTGTCGGCCACAAGGTGTCAATTATGGGCAAATAATGAATTTATTAAACATGTCTTTGGAAATATTATTTTTGTACCTTAATTTGTTTGTGAATAGTTTCACACTTCAGACAGACGCAAAATGTGGATGTGCAAAATATTTCTTGAAAATATTTAATTTAAAAAGATCTAGAAGAATGTATAGAAAATGTTTTTTTTTTTTTAATAAATGTGGAAATGTTGCTCAACAGTAATTTATTGCAAAGTCTTGCAATTGAAAATATTTTTAAATAATTTTGCATGCCTATAATGTTATGAAATAGGTTATTAAAATTTAATTATGCAATTCTTAAAATCATAAAACTTAAAATATTTCTAAAAATTTTTGCATGTTGATAATATTTTTTTTATGTTTTACTAAACCAAAGAATAGGTTTTTATGCTTACGTCTCTAAATAAAAAATATAAACAAATAATTAATTTCATTTTTACAATTTTTTCTTTATCAAGATTTCTTTACGTACTAGATTAATTTATATAACATATATAAAAATATATTTTTAAATATAGAAATATTAAATATTAGAGAAAGTGGCCTACTAAAATAAAATTTCAAATATTTTTTAATACACATATAAACAATTTAGTATAAAATAAAATTTCAATATTTTTTTATACACATATAAATACTAAATTATTTTACTAAAATAAAATTTCAAATATTTTTTAATACACATATAAATAATTTAGTATTTATATGGGTATTAAAAAATATTTGAAATTTTAATTTTGTAAAATAATTTAGTATTTATATGTTTATAAAAAAATATTGGAATTTTATTTTAGTAGGCCGTTTTTTTTTTAATCTCTAATATTGCTATTTTTAAAAAGTATTTTAAAAAAATTTAAATTTATATATGAGGCATGTGTACTACTCTTTATGCATAGAATTAAATTATATGTTATTATATGAATTTTATTTATATCAAATTTTATTCACTTAGCTTTCTTTGTCTTATTCCAAAAATATTTCTACTAAGAGTACTCTCTGATATATACCAAAAATTTTTAATAAGTATTTCTTAATTTATCGGCTAACAAATATTTAATGTGCTCTTTAAATTAGGTTTAGCTTTTTGCTGAGATTTCATCTTAAATAAGCTTAGCATATTTTAATATTTATCGTACTACTAGATCTCACGTTCCCAGAGCAGCTCAGCTCAATATCTATACGATCTGCATATCGCATGGCTGAAATCTTCTTATTTGTTATCTAGCATCTGCATTTATAGCGCCAGATATATTTGAAATTCTGATAGAACTTGTCGCAGTCGTGACACGCCACCCGCTCAGCTCCAATGCACAGATCCGCCTTAGGCAAGCTGCTACATACGCTCACCTATACATATATGCATATATATATATATAGTATATGGCATCTACATATGGAGATACGCCTTTAGCTTAACTCGATTCTTTCAGCGCTTGTTGACATTTCATTATTGCAATGAGACGGCAATCAAATGCAAAGTGCACAGACAGATAAACATGGGCGCATCGGTCGCATAATTTGGCAGCCACTGTTGCAGCAGCTGCTCGGCTAACCACAACACAATTGAAAATAGCACACACTCCAATTTGGTAATAGACGAACAAGTTGAAGTTCCAATTAGCCAATGCTGGTCACTGCCGACGTTGCAGCCACAGCAACAACAACAGCAACAGCAGCAGCAGCAGCAGCAACTGTTGCTGGCAGCTATTGCCCGCTCTAGTTGCAACATCCCAGTGCTTTTCGGCCGCTGCGCCAATTCCACAAATTGCCACATTTCAGCTAGCTGCGATCCGACCAGTTTCGATTACATTATCTTTGGCTTGGCATTCGCCAGTTGCCGCCGTGTTCCGTTTTGCGGCAATGAATGCGCCGTGCTCTGTGGCGGCGGACAGCGTTCACTTTTATGCTGCCGCTGCGAACTTGCCACACCATCCGCAAAGTCTATGCCACTCCATGTGCCACTATAGAGCTGTGTGCATGACTGTGTGCAAGTCTGTGTGCATGTCTGTGTGTGTGTGTGTGATTATGGGTAAAAGTCAACCGGCAATTTGCCGCTTTCAGTTTCCAGGGGCCTGTTCGCATTGCAAGTGCAACTGCATTTTTCATGTCTGCTGCCCCACAGATCCCGCTCGTTGTGCAACCAATTGTGCAGATGACGCCGGCGCCATCATCATCTGCACAGCTGCCCCAGCCTCAGCTGCCACAGTGGTATTCAAATCCAAATCCTTAACAATTCACTTGATATCTTGGTGCATTTATTCAATTCCGAATCAAAGCAAAGCGAGTTTGACTGCTTCCCACATTCAAGCACTTTATTTCCCTCGATTAATTGTTTGTTATTAAAAACTTGATATATGATTTATAGCCCAATTGAATTATGCAAAAAAGTACTAAAGCAAGAAATTCCCATTTAGAGTATCAAGTCTTTAGAAATAATGATTAAATAGTTTCATTTGCAGTGGGATTACTGGAGAGCTCTTTAAGCGTAGTTGAGCTATTAGCCTATAGCTCTATAAGAATGCCAATAAGAAATGTTAATAAAATTACGGAAAATA